TCATTAGTGTTTTGAATTCGGAATTCCAGCTCGGATGTTTTTGAGGGACACCGGACATGCCAATAAGGGAAAGAGTATGGAACTCAGGAGAACTGAGTTATTTCTGTGTTCTTGGTTTCTACCGGAAACAGCTGTTCCATAAACCTCTGTTTAGATCTTCATACCAGTGATTTATTTTCTTTGCAGTTTATTTCTCCATTTTAGAATAGAAGGACTTTCTTTGTATATTTTATATTTGGACTGTATTAACTGCTACAGTGTGCAGATAGTATAAGACTACTTCAAACTGATCCCCAGGATAGTGGTCTAACAAGTTGCTTGAGTCTCTAGATGCTATCGTATAAATGATAGTAATGCTAATTCTGCTCTGTGCTTTTTAATTTCAGCTTAACATTATCTTAGTGAAGTGCTCCACCGTAAAGAGCACTGATCTCCACGGATAGGCTGAGCATCGTCTGCAAGAGCTGAGGGCACTTGGCACTTCCCATGATAAACACAGTACCTTCTACCGTCAAGCGCAGTCTCTACAAGGTAAGTTGAGATGTGTGGAAGAGATAGTAGCTTATCTGCAAGGAATCCGTTCATTTGTTCATAATCACAGAGGTGTTTCCTAGACTACAACAGATCAGGCATTGTTTAAGGGCCATCCAAAAATCTGGTCTTGATTGAACGTGGTCCATCACAGCAAAAAAAAATTTTTGCTTATTTCTACTACTTCAGAGTTGCTAACAGGAAAAAAAATTGGCTATTTCTGCAGTTCAGCTGAACACTACCCAGAGGTAAGTAAGAGGATGAACCCTAACACAGCTCAGTCTCACCAGAGAGCAGCACACACAAACTGTACTCCACAGTCACTAAATGGATGGGAACACTGCCAGCTCTAAGACCTCTCTATCACCTTTTGGAGTTAAAAATCAAAGGGCAGGAATAAACTGAGACGAGAACTTTCCAGCCATATTCTCTACAATTGCATAGCACGTGAAACACTTAAAGTTCTGTGTGCGTGCATGTAGGTACACATCTATATTTAGCCATCTTGTAAAACTGAAGTGGGACACTACCAATTTAAATTCCAGAGTTCACAGCCATAGGCATCCTGTCTGTTCTCATTTACATAGCTGCAAATCTTGTGTAATACCCAACTGTCAGCAGGGTTTACTGTAGGTAATACCAGTTTCACAATGTTGATACCTGACCCAACACAGAATCATGCTATCACCCAGTACCACAAAACCACTAAGCATGTTGGGCAGAAAGCAATTAAGATTTCAAAGGTGCTTGGGTGTAATCAGGGCATAACCTTTCTTCTATTTCAAAACCTCATCTTTCCAGTGCTCTGATATTACTAAAGGCCAAAACTCTATTGCTTGCCTTTGTGGCACTTGCAATTCAAGGTGATGGTAGCAAAGTTGGAAATCCTCCTCCCTTTCCTGTAAGATAACAGGCTAAGCAGCTCAGTCCAAGTCTCTCTCTCCCATTCCCACATGAACCATACAGAGGATCTCTGCTCTGCTCTTCCTCTCTTAAAAGGCAGGAGAACAACCAGGTAAGGAGTGCATGTGGTAGCACAACCTGCTTTCAGTCCTCTCACTGTTCCAATGCCATGCAAATACCACTGCCCAGTTTTGCAGGCAGCTAGGCTTGCCCAAACTTGGTTGAACAGAATGAGGCAGAGACCTAGTTTCATGAACATATCAACACCTAATAACTTTAGCTCTCTGTAACACCTCACATCCATTACAATGATGAAAACTTGGCTGCTCTTGAGACATAATGTTTGGTTCCAATGATATGAATTGCTACTGAAATACAAATACTAGTTCACGTGAAATTAAATGCCAGGAATACTTAGAGTTATTCATAAAGGTCTGATAATAATATTGACTGTATTGTCATTGAGGCAGTTACCATAAGTAAGCTTTGGCAATACTTTATTTCTATCACATATCTATTGGCTATTGGAGTAGGATGCTTAGAGTGTTAACTGCTACTTCGCTAGGGCTGTCCATGCACTTAACATAGAATACAGTGGCAGAGGAAAATGGACATGTAAAGGCTGCATCAGCAACCTCTATTCCAGTGTTCTGATATACACAGCTTTAGCTGTAACTATTCTTAAAATGGAACACTTCACAAATAAGAGCAACAAATAAAGACAGTAAAAGCACCATGTTCTACTAGGACGAAAGCAGAAACTGACCCCAAGAAAAAAATATTACAGTGCACCTGCATTTTACAAAAAAGAAAGGAACAACAACAACAAAAAAAGCAGGATACTGTGTTGGAATACAATCTACAGGAAACAGAAAACACTGCAACATTTTCTTCATTAAATTTTGGTAATACCAAATATACCATAGCTGCAAAGTACCAACACTGCAGAAGTGTATTGCAACTATAAACCCTGAATTAGTACTACACGTACTTACTAATAAATCATTAGTATTATACTAATATATACTATTATACATTATACTCCTAAGTTACTAGCAAGACAATACTTCAAGCTATCTATTGACCAACTGCTGACAAGCTATGACTTACCAAACAAAAATTCTAGGTCTTTTATCTCCCAGATTATCTAGAACTCTTAAACTTCTGGACACAACTCATCTCTGTAATGAACCTCTCCAAAAGCCCAAACAAGCATTCATATCCTCTTCTGTTTTCTCTGACTGCTGGATTAGAAACTTCTGAAGCCAAGATTCTTTTCTATAACTTTGTAACAGAATTTTTATTAAAAATGCATCTGAAAAATAAATCTTAAGTGTAAAAATGTTTTACAAAAGTACAACTTAAGAAAAATAAGATTTAGCCCAAATCTGATGTTGTAGAATTGCACTGCTTGCATGTATTATATAACATATAACTAACTCTCAACGGTCTCCTATCCTAAAAACTAGCTGCTTCACATTAACCCAGCACAAGCAAGCAAATAGTGATCTACTACTGAGAACAGCTCTAAGTCAAGATGAGGATATCCAAGACCAAGGTACAGTGAAACTGAAATATTTAGATGAGATTCCGTCCAGATTTATTTTATATGTCCTACATCATCACTGTGCTTCTAAGGGATTATAAATCACCATCGCCATATCTGCACCCCACACGGTCACCAAATGTTTAACTGAGGAATAAAGAGGTCAGCAGGAGATAGATTCCTAGGTTCAGTGCTAGACTTTATCTCAGTGATCCCCTTCAAAAATGTACAGCATTTCTACAATTCATGTTGCAAATAAATTAAACCTTTTCTTCTAAAATTGTCAAAAGTTACCTTTAAATGAAGTTCCAATGTTTTCTGTAGATCATATACTTTCAAATTCAAGAAAGGAAAAATCCCATTTTGCCTAGTAGGACTACTCCAGATATGCACAGATGGATTGAAATTATTTCATGGTGTAACTGATAAAGAAAGTTAATCACTAGATAGAAATTGGTTGGAAAATAGATTTAAATGGCAGAGCAATATAACTTGCCTTATTTGGCTGCCACTGGCAATGCAACAACAGTAGCACTCTTGAGATGCAGAAGAAATGTTTATAGCAGGGAAAACAACACAGAAGCAGACATGCTGAGGTCTCTTTATCTGATAACTTTGTGGTAATTGCCTTTCATGCCCTGTGGCAAGTAGGATGCACTAATTTGGCATTCAGTGAGTACAGCACAGAAGCATAATGCAAACAAAGAAGAATCTAACTCCACACTACTGCTTTGCCTTACTAAATTACCAAGGCATAACAGCATTTGCAACATCAAAAAAGAGTGAAGTAGAGATTTCTGTGGGTCAACATCATCCTCTTCCTCAAGTTCAGTTTCACTGACATCCGAGTAACCTGACTTGATTTCAATAGTTCTTTTTGGCTGGCTTTGCTATGAGGTCTGGTTCTATCTACTGGCTGAGCTTTCATCCTTAGTCTGCACCCCAACAGAGCAGACATTTCTTCGTTTTGTCCAACTGCCTGCTCACATCTGCCAGCCTGAAGTCTTCAAACACCTGTTTCTACCAACGTCAACAAGAATTTTGCCTCTGATTTTACTGGGTTTACAATTTGTCCATTTACTGCTTTTTTCTTCCTTTTCATTCACCACTGCACAGAAGCAAAGTTATCAATATTGCTGTGTACAGCTCAGTTCCCAGACGCCTTTTTTCTGTCAAATAGGTTTATTTTTAAACATTCTTAATTTACATTTTAGAGATCTCCTCTATTTTTTAAACTGGTAGTGTCTCACCTCTTAAAAACCACATACAGCTGTGCTCTCCCTCTTTCTCGTAACAGCTGACCCAAAGACAGCAAACCTTTATTACTAACTGCAGGGAAGAATGCACAACACTACTTTCTTCCTGACAGCTGCAGTTCCTCCACATCTGCTTTACAGTCACTCGCTCAGCATCCAGATTCATCACTTCATACAGCTTAATTGTGTGGGAAGAATACCAAGGACAATAACAGTGAAAGAAGAATAGACTAAGGTACACACATAGATATACACACATATACAAATGTGGCATAATTTTCACCACATAATAATCTTTGCTAATTCTTATTTCCTGTTTCAGGAAATAGATTTCAGGTCACGCCCCTGGTCCCTTTATGATAAATCTTTTCAGTGTAACGTTCTTCACACACAGTGGTCTCCACAAAAACTAGTTGGCAGATGCCAGAGGAAGATTATGTATTAATAACACACTGAGGCAGTAAATAGCAAAAAAACTGATCATTCACATCCTTATACATTTATTTGTGGATGCCCAGGATTCACTCCTACGGAAGGTAAATTCAGCTCTCATTTCATTTAGCACAAGCCGTCCACATTTCTGCTAGGCATGAGTTAAGTACAGAGTTTAGTGGTTACTGTTACAGCAAACTGAGTTAAGGTGCAATAAACACAAAGAGAAATGGATGGAGAGGGACAAAGATGGAGTCCACGGTCTAAATGCCAGGTTTGCGTGTATGCCAGCTGCTCTGCAGCACAGGAGAGAGAGGCAAACAAATACGTACCAGGTTTAATTTCCAGCAGCTTCAGCCTGGAATCCTCAGGAGGATGCAAACGCCTCTTTTTGCGCCAGCAACGTGCCGGGTATGTGTACAGCTGACCTGGGGCCAGGCCTGAAAATTAAAGGCAAGAAATAAAACAATCATATTTCAGTCTGTAAACCACAAAGCACTGTCTCTAGCATCTTTTCCCTTGTCCTTTCAGTGTCTCTTGTTAGAGGATTCAATCCTGCAAACTGTGATGCAGAACTATGCACTCAAGGTATCCAGCACTCCGGAGGCTCCTTGGCACCTCTGGGGATCAGGCCTACAGAGAATCTGGGTCTCACTCGTACACTTCACTCAGCTCACTGAAACCAGAGCTGCACATAAATAATTTGTGATTCCTTCAGGGTAAATAGAATCTCAGCCTCTCTTGGGTCACAGGGAGATGTCTCCTCCACGGGCAGAGAAAGTGCCTTGGGAGAGAAGAGATGAAGTTCCGACACACAAATCATAAGGCCCTGGTATGCAGACCAGCTCAGAAAACGTCTTCTGAGTGAAAGCAAACAAAAAATCCATGAGGTCTGGCTACTGAGACTTAATATTTTCGCTTGAATTCTGGACTTTTGTTTAAAAAGAGATCCTTTATTCTGGATATTACCTTCCTCATGCCCACATCCTGAATTAGGGAGGAAATACAGCAGTAATGTTTATATTACTGCATGCTCCATTGATTCACATTTGGTGTTGCTGGCCTCTGAGCTGCCCTGGCTCTCATGATAGGCATCCCTTAGCCAACGCTCAAGCTATGCTTTGTTCTCTTGTATTCAGGACACAGCAGGGCCCTGTGAATGCACTGCTACTAAGAACACAGAAGCACACTGACAAGTTACTGCCCTAGTTACTCTTGATACCCAACAAGATCCAGAAATGCTGGAAGAATGTTGTTCTCGCCCCTGCTTCCGTTGACCTCTCTGTCTGCCACTTCTGCTTTTACTCTTCTGCCTTCTGATGTTATTCCTGAAGGGGCTTCTGAGCACAACTGAAGTTCCAACCCCACTGCCCTCAGAAAACAAGTAAGACCACATAAGAGAGAGGACATTACTAATGTTACCATATCTGAAACAGTACCAGCAGTAAACAGCTGGACATCATTAAGGCAGCACGAGTAAAGCAAATCTGTTCAAGAACAGCAGGATGGCTTGCTCTCTGCCATTCCCTCTGAGACGGCCCAGAGAGCATATCAGCTCTGGAACAAAGCTGATTCATTGAGTCAGATGCAGATAACACAAGAAAAAAGACAATATACTGTCACTAGGAAAAAAAAATAAATAAGAGACAAGCATACACCAAATTTATTCACCCTAAGGGTACGGGCTAATCACGTTCTGCAAGCTTTTGGCTTGAAATAGTTGAGCTGTTGGAGATTCCAGTTCAGACTTCAATGATTTCCACCTGCTTCCTGGCCTTGGTGCATAAATGGAGCATCTACATCATACTGCCTGGGTTTGGCCAAATGATGGAATGTTCACAGAGGTCCTGGCTGCCCGAGGTCACAGTGCAGGCCCAGGGCTTTGCACATCCTCTTTTGTCACTGCACAGATTCCTAGGCATTATGCCCAACACAACAAGGATGCATTTTAGTGAGCAGCACATGTGACTGTTTTAAGGATAAAATGTGAATAACCAGTACTTCTGCAGTGCTTGACACGTTTCTACATGGCATTTTGCAAACATTAACCACTGCAAACAATTGCTATTATGGTGGGGTGGATTGTGCCTGCTCTGATGTGAGTCATTAAAGAGGTGGAGGCAAGATGCCTCACCCTTTCACAGTAGGTTTTGTTCAAAAATTTGCTCACAGCATTGAAAAGCAGGGTTGTTAGGCTAAGGAAACAGGACAGAGAATCAACCTTCCATTGCACAGACCTCCAGAGAGGAGAGATTTGAATGAAGTGGGCACCATTGCTTTGAACATTTCTCCCAGACGGAGAAAAGCAAGGATCCACTGCAGTTTTGAGATAATATCCATTAACATGGGTTCAAGTATTGTGAACTCACATATGAATTGGCAATTCTGGATTCAGCCAAGACACTGAATGCCAACTGCAAATGCTGAAAGGCCAATGAGAAACACAGCAGGAATCCTTGAATAGATGAAAGTGGAGAATTCTCCTCCCTTGGAGAAATGCAGCCCACTCCAGGTGGCAGATAGGCTCCTAAGTTCCTCCAACACCAAAATCCATGGTTGTGGAGGTTTTTTTCCCCATTTGCCTTTAGACAGTATTTCAGGTCAGGGACACTAAATGAGAGTGAATCCAGCACACAAGACAGATACCAAGAAGGCTGGCAGAGAATTTCTGGAGATGTTCAGGTCTCTCTATTCCTATTTGCAATATCCTTGCTCATTAACACACAGCCATCCAGTAAAATAAGACAGATATCAAGCCTCATCTTGATTCAAACTCATTAGATACTATCTTCAATCCTCTGCCCTGACACCTATATGTCTCCATACTGCCTCACGTGAAGCATGGACCATTGACTGTTTACACAGAGGAGAAGCAATAAAAAAAAAGGTCTGTTCTGAACAGAATCTAGCCCCTGCACAGTTGATCATGCAGGGCACATAGAAATAACACTTATGCATGTCTTACTGTCTTGTCTTCAGTCCTAGCTGAGCTGTCTCTCCCTCTGGGGCCTTATAGGGCAACCAGAGAAGGTTCCAACCATTTGCTTATAGAGGAAATAGCAGAACCTGCAGTGAGTTATGTTGTTTATCTCATTAGTGTAGGAGAGCCATAACTCAGAGCTCTTGTGAAAGGCTGGGGGAGGAGGAGAGAAGAGGGAGGGAGTTATGTGCAGTATTGTGTGAAATTAACCCTGAACTGTTTATCATGAAATGCAGTTTTCTGACTCCTTTAACAAAGAGGATGGTGAGAAACCAGGTTAATAGACTGAGATCCCAACTCTCCTCTGTTTTTCAAACTCTCTGTAAAAGAAAATAGTTCCTGGAGCTTTGCCATTTGTCTTTATGCAGTTTTTCATGTTATGGAGAGTAAATGGCAATGAACATAGCACACAAGATGGATACTACGGTGGCTGACAAAGAATTCTTGGAGATGTTCAGTATGAGCATAAGTACAATGTCTATAGCCTGAAAACAGGGATGCTGAAACTAAACAAGGATGCTTTGACCCACCATAACGATACTACAAGAAATAGATGATGCAAAGAGACCCAAGGGAGCACTAAATGGGCTAATAAAAGTCAAGAAAGAGGAAAGCAAATATAGGGGAGGAGGGCTGCTTCATTTTGCACTGATTATTCTAAATTAAAATAACAAAAGCATCAGATTTGGTGGCTGCAACAAATGCAGAAAGCCTGATTCACTTAAGACTCTCTATGAGGAATTTTCTACCATTAATTCCCACTGGAGCCACTGACTCTTTTGCAGGGGAAGCCACAGGAAAGTTCAGTATCAGAAGTGAGCAAAAAAGATTTGCACAGCGCATTTGCCAAAGGTTGTCCAGAGAACTAGTGACAGAGCTCTTGGCTCCTGGTGTGATGCTGTAACTCTTCTAGGATGATTTCCTCTCTAAGTGCAGAGACACCAATGAGACCTACACAATACTATGTTTGCTTATCTTTGTAGCAAGTGCTCTTGCCAAAACATCATTTGTGTATATAGTGGATGTATACGTGTTTATTACTGAGCTCACAAGGATTAAAAAGCAGCACCTTACTCATAACCTGATGTTACAAGAACAAAAATTGCAAAGCCAAAGTGATTAACCAAAAAGAAAAAATAAAAAAGGAGAAAAAAAAAAAAAAGGAAACCTATCCTTGCAAAAGCATAATCTCTTAGGAATTAGGAGATTTTAGATTTAAAAAAAAAAAAAATTAATGTGGTCATAAACCACATTTAGCAGTCTCAGATTACTGAAGTAGTTTTGGCAGCTGAGATATTCTTAGGATATATTTAACGCTGGTAAAACACCCGCTGTCTCCTGCAACAGAAGTGGCTGCATTTTGCTACAGTTTTCTGGTGGTACTGCAAGACCACAGAACACCTACTTTGAGTATTTTAGGAACAGGAGCAGCGCAAAGATCTGTCCCTCTATCCTAGATATGTCCCTTCCTATCCTAGGAAGCATTTCAGATAAGCACCCTTCAGAGGCATGAGTTGCTTTCCTAGTCTGCTCACAGGAGGGGAGGCAAGTGTCCTTTGTGTTCCTCCTGCTACAGCTGCAGCGAGTTAGCCAGTGGAGGAGGTAACAGCAGCCTGCATCTATCCACAGTTCCAGGTTGGATTTTCTGTTTTCTTTTTTTTTTTTCCAGTATGGTTTACAGGAATTGACAAAGATATGTGCACATGATCGGTGTCTGTGTACGCTTGACCCCTTCCTACCTGGATCTCCAGTATGCACTGGGGGGGAGGGGGGAAGAAAAAACACAAATCCACTCCTGTATTGTCAGAAAATTCATGCCTGTGCTAACTGTGGATCAGATACTCAGCCATACTCCAGCAAAATTTTCACTGGGTTTCAGGATTTCTGTTTAAGTAACATCAAGCCTTTGAACTGGTGATTGTCCTCTGCTTTCAAAACAAGGATTTCAGATGGATGTATTCTAACAAAGGAAAGACTGACCAAAGACTGCTAAACTAATGGTGGCCTTTCCCCCATTGGAAAAAAACTTAGCCAAAGGTCTTTGAGGATGTATATTAATTTTTTTCTGCAGCTGAGAAAACTGAGACTCCAGAGCTGATATCCAAACTTGTCCAAAATAGAACTAGAAGTTTACCTACATTTCTAATCATCAGAACAAAGTTCATTCCAGTTGCTGGACTCTCCTGTATTTCACCTCCACTGTATGTACTTCCTAATGAAACACTTTATTTTCAGCATTCACCTGAGACTTCCACCTCCGCTTCTCCACCCTGAACATAATTTCAATCCTGCTTAGAACAGGGCATTGTGCCTTCTACAGACTGGGATCAATAGCATTAGAAGAGCTACAGTGATACAGTCTTAGAAACTACCATGTCAGGCACTTCTTCGGGTAAGAGAGAATAATTAGGATCAGCTCTCTGCAGTTACCAAAGGAAATCCCCCGCAGGCACAGAGGTTTAGGCAGCTTCTCTTCTGCATGGCCTGTAGCAGGTTTGAGTTTCTATTAATTAAATCCCATGGGGGCTCAGTGGCCAGACCTCCAGACATGCGCACGCACACACACTGCTACCAACCTGGTCCCCTGTGCCGCTTCTCCATCCAGATGTAGCAGTTGTTCTGAGCAACTCCAGTCTGCGAGTCCAGGAAGGGAAGGCGAACGCTCCGTTCAGCACACAGCCGGGAGTTGTAGCTGCGACAGTGCTCAATTGCTTCTTTGTAGAACTGGTCCCCAAGTCTGCCAAAAGAGACAGGGCGGAGATTAGAAAAGGTTGCTCTTCCCCTCAAACAAGTCTAGGGAAAAGGGGGCATACGGTTGGTTTATTCAAACTGACAACCAGAAAAACTTCCCCTGAACACGTGAAAAGCTGGCTGACACCATACGCTACCAAAGCAGATCATGCAGAAACTGTCATCAAAGGACGACACTCTTAGAAAACAGGCGCAGATCTTTTCAGCAGGCACAACTACTGAACGAACAAATGCTGCAACCACACCGGCCCCCGACCCAGCGCCATGCACCACGTACACAGCAGTGACCTCATTCTATTGTCTCTCTTCCCCTGTAGTTTGTCCAGCAAAGTCAGTACACCAAACATGTCAGTGTTGTGCTATAGCAACTCCTACAGTATTGTGAACAACCAAAAAGCCAGACAGGTTTAGAACTACTTAAATCCAGCATTTCTTAGTTCAAAGAACCTAAAACAGCAGAAGACACAGTCTTCTTACTGTTGTTTCTGAAGCATGAAAACACACCCTTTAACAGCTAGAGCCGTGTCTGCAACGCTTACACTAGATGTTTCCTCTCCACCACTCCAGAATTTTCTACAATTGGGTTTAAGGCACCAACAGCAGCAGGCTACAGCAGCAGCTGGTAAGATCCCGCGTGGCAAATCCTTTGTTCTGGAGCCCAGTGGGAAGAACCAAGCTAAAGACAGTGTCACTTCTTTCATAAATATTGGTTCAAAAATTCTGTAGGATCTTCATATTCCCTTGAGAAAGGTTTAAAAACTCTGCCTGCTGGAGATTACCAAAATCCTCCCTCCAAATTGTTCTAAACAGGGAAAAGCATCAAAGTAGAGCTACCCTAAGGACACAAAGCAGCTGTCATGCTGGAGCAAGTAGGTGGGCCATGCTGCTGAACCTCATTCTTGATCTACTGTCAAGGTGAAATTCAGTCGTGACATGAATAGCTAGGAAAGCTACCCATCAGGGGTAAGTTCATTAGAAAAAAAGGAGCAGAATGAGATTTAGCTTAACTTGCACTGACTCCAATATTCATTAGTGTGCAAAAAGAGTATAACACACAGCAAGGGAGCTGGAAGGATGCACACACAAAGATAAAAGAGGCTCCCTTTGCTGTTCTGTTTATCCACTATCCCCCCTTCCATAGGCACAACTGCCATTTTAAACGTGTACTCCTTTTGCACACCTCTAAATGCCAAACTGGTGCAAATCACTATTTTGCTGTGTTTGACAGTCTGATACACATTTTTTATGTCACTTGTCATTTCCACATCATAACGTTCATGGGAGCAATACTCTCTCCACGGGCCGTATCGGTGCACTATCTTTTTGTTGATAGGGGCTGATATCAGAGACTTACTGAAGAACAAAAAAACAGAGGCAGGAATCTCTGGCTCCTCCTTCTCGTTGCTGATAACCAGTTCTCAAGTGTCAAGTCACCCAATCGTGGATAATGTTAAGAGATTTGATGAATCTTTCTTCTGTGAATGTATTCAACTGACTTCAACCCATCTTTATTTTTCACACCTAAACCATGGTGGGGCAATGAGTTCCAAAGCCAAAATATTACTTGTGGGGAAAAAAGAGCATTTTCTTGTGTTTTAAGCCACATCTCAGTTATTCACAATTACAAGTCCAAAAGTCCTCCACAAAGCTGCCACCAGGTTACTTTTCTAACAGATGCAGGCAGACCAGCATGCCAAAGCTGTAGGTGTGGAATGAGCACCATGGACTGGTGATGTCTGCTATGTTCATTCATGATGCAATGATTTCAGCTGCTGCATTTCAGAACATCCAGAAGGGAGAAAACAAGACAGTCCCCAACAGACAAGAATTACACCCGGGAGCCAGTGCACCTTTTGGCTACATAGATTTTCCAAAGGTTGTTAAGCTGTTCCATACAGCACATGCCTGTTTGAATTTAGCATCTTGCAGCCCTGTCCCTGACCAGTGACCACCAGTCCCAGGCAGCAACTGGTGTAGAGGGTCTGGAAAAGAGAGCTCTGAGCTGCACAAGAGGACTGAGCTGTGGGAGGGGGCAGTGCAGAGGGATGCCTCTGTGTGGTGAGGTTACAAGAACTGTGGCCCTCAGCTTTCGTCACAGGGCCACAGTTCTTGCAACTTCACCACACCTCTGGATGCAGAATCACCCACAATGACCTCAACCACATTTTTCCATTAAAGACAGCAGAGGAAGGAAGGGGGGCAGGGGAAAGAAGAAAAGATAAGCTGCACTACTATACAAAGAATATGGCTAGGAAGAAATGAACCTTATTAAAAACTGTAATTAAAGTCATACACTTGTGTAATCAAAATCAGTAACAAGGAGACTCCAGCTGATCAAAGATTAACAGCTCTTTCCTCAAACGCTTCAGCTTCCGCAGAGCTAAGTCAGATTCCCCTACATTAAGCCAGGGATGCTCACAAACTCCAAGGAGAAAGGAAGAGCACGGCTGTGTGACAACAAACTGTCACTGCTGCACAGCTTTCTTTATGCTAAAAATTACTCCATTCATTAGAATATAAACCTCACAAAGCACACTTATTAAAAAAAAGAAAAAGATATGTCAGAAACCCAGATGCAACATCTGGCCAGAGATGACCGCACTTTCCACCTCCTAAGACTGAAAGTAACTATAAATCTTTGAGTGATAAATATTTGGCTTTCAGTGACACCATCAAGTAGGGTGTAAGATTACATTTCAGATTTTTTAAGTAGGAGAAAAGGGGTTTTGAGAACCCAATGTGTTTAACGACCAGAGAAGCTGCCAAGTTAATGTGTCAAATTCATTCTTCACACAATTATGTACTCTTAACTGTTTCATCACATTTATTTTAAGGATCACAAATACACACCTTTTGCCTTAGAGAAAGATAACAATCTAGGAGAAGCATTTAGTCACCACCGTACTTCAGGAAAGCTCGCTTTAGCTCCACTACAGTGAGCACAATCAAGAACTCACCCCCTAACTATTCACTGGGAAAGCCAGTACTCAAGTACTGCACCACTGAGGCTTTGTCTTGAATTTAATTCTGGGAATTAAAATAAAAAGAACAATCAATCAAATACTGGAAAGCAAGGAAACTGTATTTCCCTAGGACAGTCATATCCCTGTGGAAAACAGCTTCCCTGCAACTACTTCTGGATGTTTGGCTGTTGTTTTTCTTTACCACCGTTTTCTTCACTACAGTAAATCTCATTCTAAACTTCAGTTCCCATTTTGAAGGAACTTTTGATTTTATTTTTTTTCCTTGTTTTCTACGTGGTGTTAAATATTCAAACAGAGTATATTCTATGTTATGCAGGAAAAGTAGAAAGTGTTATTAGGAATGGTGCAGAAAAGACCCTATTGCACTGGTCACTGTAGAGTCACAGACGCGGGATAAGACTCAGCTCCCTCCCAGACGATTTACAGTGGAGGTGGAGAATAGTCAAGGGTGGGGATAAGACTGGTGAGCACAGGAGTTCAAGGGGAACCCAAACAGATCAGCTGAGTTTGAATGAAACACACGAAGAGAAAAAAAAAAAAAATAGACATTAATAGTGAAAAGTGTATCATACGTCAGAAAGATTAATGATCTGGTGTTACAAGCTTCTTAGTTTTCCCAAGTTGTGTTGCCAAAGACGACTTACACTTCATCTCCTGAAAAAATATCTGTAAAAACTATGGGGAATTTCTGCATTATTTTCATGAAAAGTATGTATGACTCAGTGCTGTGCTGTGACTGACTGCAAGGGTCAATTCTTCCCTTTGGACATGGGAGAGACAGGTCACACTGACTAGTCTAGATTTATATTCACAATACAAAATCATCATCATCATCATACACATAGATTTCAACAGTGTTGGGAGAAAAATCAAGGAGCAGACAAATTACTGTTGGTCAAGGGATGCAAATCACACTGAATACAGCACAACTGGAAATACAAAATGAAGTTTTCAGCACACTGCAAAAAGAACACAAATGAAACCCTGCAGGTTTCTGCCAAGTGGAACCCTGAGTGGACCAATGGGACAGGTGACACTGCTGGGATACATGCAAGTTTTGCTTTTACATTCCAGCCGCAGGACACTGAAATAACTCGGTTCTCACTGACTAATAAAGCTGTCCCAGTTGGAAAAGAATAGCTTATGCTGTTAAAAATCTGCAAAATTGCATATAAGGATCCATTTTCAAGAGGAGTCTTTCTCCAGTGGGAGATAGGGACTCTATTCTGGTGGAAAAGGGTGGTACCAGAACTAAACAACTGGCTTGGAGCAGTAGAAGTGCAGTCGGAGTGAAGCAAACGCTCAAAGAACTTGAAGCACAGCAGCACTTGGGTGCTTGGCACAGGAATACGGGGCTGGTGCAGACCTGTGCAGCTAGGTAGTCTCCAGCAAAAGAGATATACTAAGATGGAGGAGCAACCCCTGAGATTTTCATTAGGTCACTGTCTTTTTAAATGTTAAGAAACAGAGGTTTTCTAACAAGGAATCAGGCCACCTTACAACAGTCAGTGAAGAACCTTTTTTTCCTCAACCTTTGTCTCTGCCTAGACTACAGGATTTCTGAGCAGACTCTGACTTACTGCTTCTTTTTGTACAGTACCTAGTGACATCCTTCTGCCTAGGCATGCCTTAAACCATAACCAACAAGTACTGGCCTGGTCTATACGCCCATTCTATAACAATAAGGACCAAGAACTACACTTTGGGACAACAGTTTCAGAGCTCCTCCTGCTTATGAGGGCCCTAAAAGAGGCAAACCAGCTCTTCACCATCCTCATCTGCAAAGCCCAGGCTACTTGAGTGCATCACACCTTTTTAAAAAGCTGCAAAATAGGAAGCATCTAGGTGCATCCTTCCTTCACTGCCTATCACGCTTTAGATTAGAATCTAGAAAAGAAGAGGACTCAGTAAAGACATGTAACCATACTTTTAGCCTTCGGTCTTACATTTAAAATCATTTGACACTGCGATTTTGAATCAGAAATCGTTCTTCAGGAACACA